TTTCTCTGTTAATGTCTCCCAATTATGGAATCAATGTGGAGAGTGATTCAGATCAATTTAGGCTTCTAGATTTCCATGTTGCTAATATGAACATACTAGTATAAATATAACTTAAAATGGTGGGCAAAACAAAGATGAAGTCAATAGCTTTCCTTTACTGGTATATCAGTGACTCTTTACAATGAGCAGTGAGACTGCTGAGTGATGTTTTGGTTGTAGATGTTAGACTTGGTCCTGTTTTGCCTACTCAACAAGAGATTGCATTTGTTCCAGTCTACATATGGATATTTGTAAATAGCAGTGGTATGTGCTATCTACAGCACAAGCCCAGTGTAGTGGTTAAATAAACACAGTGGCCCTGCTTGGTGAGACAGTCAAGCACAGGTTGAAAGCTGTAATAACAGGCTGTAATGGCGGGACAGTGCTATTGGTTTGGATGTACAATGAGTCAGTGAATGACGAAGGATAGAGCACGTATGTCTGCGTGTGTCTGTGTAGGAGAGTGGAGTAGGAGGGATAAGGAGCCCAGCGCTAGAGAAGATCTTAATTGGGACCAGGTGTAGTTGAACCATGAGCACAGATGTGATGTTAATACTGTCATTTAATTGCTGTAATGATCGGCGTAAAATTGTCACTTCTGTATGATCTAGTGAGTTGTCTGTGCAGTATTATAACTGGGGCTAAAGGAGATAGTGTAGGTGCTCAGCCTGTACCTCTGGCACATGCACTTGTGGTTTGGAAGTAGTTCCTATGGAGAATAGCATGGCACTTGAAGAAGTGTATTTGAATAATGTATGTTACATTCCAAATAGGGAACCTGCCTTCTCTCTGTGCCCCATGACTAGGTTTTCATTTCACATTTGCTGCTGGTGGTTTCAGTGTTTAGCTTTTGTTGGCAGCAATGTTGCTTGAGGATCCCAAGTTGCTTGTTATACAGCCCTTAGGCAGTCTGGTAACTCTTACAGGGCATATTGCTACATAAGGCTTTTTTTTTCTTCTTTCAAGACTTATTTGAAGAAAAGAGATTCATGTGAATAAATTTTGAATTGTCAGAAGAAAAATAAAACCATTTACATAAAATTGATTTGACCATTTTTTCTGATTCAAGATTCATGATTTACAGATGTTACATTAGTAATCCCTAATAAATTGATCCCCTTGTAAGGGGGATTAGCCTCTATTATACATCTAGTCTGTTAAAATTAAGACAAAATGATACCGTTCTGTAAAAACTGATTATTATTAAAGATCAATTTAAACTGAAAATTTCTGTGGCATTATTAAAAATGATATAAAAATAACTAAAATAATAAGGCTTGGCCTACTTTTGAAAATAAGTCAGATGTTAAGGGGCCTGGTAGAAGAACTAAGCATTAGGAGAACTCTGTCATTGTGAAACTCTTGCTACTGTCTCCTAGCTGGTCCTATGCTTGGTAGTGAACATACAGCAAATGTAAATTCTACCAGAGCTGAAATGGGGAAAGGTGGCTTTTAGGAGGCTGTCCGTACTGTTCCCTGAACCTTAACATTTCATAGATAAGTTATATCAATAGCCAAAGGTTTGTATGATAATCTCTTTCACAGTTTGAATTTTCATTTATTTCTTTTTTTACCTTAGTGTTCTGAAATACAGTATGCACTATTTTAAAAGCAGGTAAAGTACAATTTTTGGTGAAAAAATAGTTTGCTAGTGTAATCTACTACCATAATTCAAACCAATATTTATGTAAGATTTCATTCAACAATATGAAAATATGCATCCTTTAGTCACAGTTGTTAAAACTACCTTGTACTCCTAAGGGAAACAAGTAGTCACGTTTTAATTTTTGAGCTTACTGGTAAATTTTGCCAGAGTAACACCACAATCTTATTTGCAACTGTCTGTATAGCTATTGTGAAATAAACTGCTCCGTAAGTCCTAATGTGGATGCTCTGATTCCAGAGAACAGTGCTTTAAACCAATGTTTTAAGTGGGAGAAAGGCAGTAAATGTGACTATAGGAGATGTCTTGCAGAATAGGCTTGTAAGAACTGTAGATTAATATAATAATTTTATGTTTATGTGGTAAGCCATCAGTTTTTGAGGAAAAATCAAATCTAATAATCTTTATTTGACATTTAGGAGACAGTGGGAGCTAGGTATACCTAGGAGTTCCTAGTTACAGTTCAGAGTATAGAAATTCTACAAGACAAACTAAAGAATATTGTCAGTATTGTCTAGGTAGACTTTACATTAAACTGGAAAAAAATACCAGCCATTGTAGTTACACATATTTGATGCCAAAAT